TATTAATTCAATATTTCTATAAAAAATGGCAAATAAAGTCAGAAGCTTTTACCACAAACTGTTCAGCTTAAATAATTGTAATGAAGTTATCAAAACTTTCAATTATTTTGTTATATTTTCAGCAAAAATAAAACTTTAGTCATTCTATTGATCCAGAAGCATTGCATTCAGCATATTTCCCACTTCAGTGAGCTCACCTTCTTATTTTTTTAATCCACACTCAGGCAATATAAAAGAGTAAAATAGTTTATTTTATCAGTAAAGATCAACAGAAGGCACACATACAGTATCTGTGGGTAGAAGTCACACCAGCGTCAGGATCTTAGTAAAATATATCATTACGAACATCTTCTGCCTGCAGGATTCAGATTTTTCTTCATCCTTGTAGAGCTGATGCAACATATTTGCAAGCAAACACAGCCTTTTGCAAAAATATATCCATATATAATTATAACTTTTTTTTTTCCTCTACACATCGAAGCAAACAAATTATACAAAAATGCAGAAAACTATCTCGGTACACGATCTGTTTAGAAGAAAGAACATGCTTTTTTATAAGCACAAGAGTGGCAGTCATACAGAATCCAAAGAAATAAAAAATAGAAGCAATACTTTTGTCATAAATCGTTATATGAAATACATACAAGTCCATATAATGCTAAAAATATTAGCTTTGAAACCCAGTTAAGAAAAAAAAAAAAATACACAAAAAAAGATATTTTCAATATAGACGTCTCAGGATTATAAGTTCCCAAAAAATACAAGTGTGTCCCTTTCGAGCAGACTGGGTATTACCTAAGGAATAAAAAGCTTACTAAATTAGTAAAAGGAGTGCCATGGCTTTAAGATTTTTGTTTTTGGCTGCGATAAAAAGGTCCCAGAGTTTACAAACGTGAGAACCAAAGCGATGGCCATGCTACAAAAATTACCACAATATAAAACACTAAAACAGAAAAAGACATCTGAAACGGTCGTAAAGAGTCGATGCCACAACAAAAATGCATATCTGTGTTTAAGTGCAGCAGAAATTAGAGACGGCTCAAAACTTCAAAGTCCGACAAGAATATATATATATATAGCTACAAATATTAGCTTTGAATTAGATTACTATTATGCATGTTTTGTTTCTTTTCAAAAAAGGAAACTTGGCAGTGGCAGTTCTGGGTATAAGAAATGTGGCGTATGATCCAAGGGGCGATGTAGGTACCAGATCTGCTCGGGGCCCTGCCCCTTATTATGACATCATTATACGGCAACTCCATTTGGATTGTATTGCACCCATTTCTTAAGAATCAGATCTCTTCTAGAGTCTCAACATATTATTACCCATATTTTTTTTATTATTTTACATGTCATTAGGGATCTAAAGTAGCCTAAAGTAAAAAAACAAAAAAAAAAAAAAAACAGCCATTGCCAGACTTAAAGGATCTATTTAACAAGGTGACACAATAAGTCTCAGCTTATCTTTCATCTTTTTATTAAGGTCTGAGGGCAGGGGAGGAGAAATCGAACATCTTAAAAAGGATTTTCGTGGAGATTTTAGACACAAAAAAGTTCTACTTGTAAAAGACAAATGGTGGTTGTTGACATGAAGTTAAAAGTAATGGAGCTTAATATGGCTAACTGACTAAGCTAAAACAGGCTAACCTGTTAGCTATTGTCCAGAGCTAGCCACAGAGCTACCCAGCTCTTCCCCTTTATACTTTTAACAGTTACTTTGTTCAACATAATAATTTTTTTTCAGTTTCACTATCCATCAGGTAAAACTTCATCGCTCATTAGACACGCTAACGCTACAGATGTTGCACACAGATGCTGCGCGTTGTCTGGGCAACCACGACGTTTTACATTATGTGGCAACGTTCAGCAAATCATATATTGCAATGTCACGGGCGAGCAGATCTGGTACCTACAGCGGCACTGTATAATTAAAGTAAAAAACATTGTAAATAAACTACAAGAATTCCTTGATGGGGAATCAAATGTGTGGCATTATGTGTTGGGACTAAACCAGATCTGAGACAAGCATATACACAACTCAGCCTGAACTGAAATAGCAAATACTGGTCATGAATACTTTTAAAAAAGTTGTGATTTCTGAACTTAATGTAATACTTAAATCGTAGGAATTAAAAAAAAAGAAAACAAATAGTAATTTGGAAAGAAAAAAACAAAGAGTATGAATGAGTGAATTTGCCACTTAAATATTTGCATTTCTTTGATGCAGAATTAAAATAGTTGAAAGGTTGATCCTTCTCTTGTCAACTCCTCCTATTAAACCTCTTATTTCTTGCTTAATTTAAACCGTCATGAAGCTACACTGAGTTGTTAAAAAGAAAGAAAACAAAAAAAAACTTGCAGCCTTCCTTCTCTGAAAATGCAGCCTTTTTTTTAATCCCAGTTTAAACCTTGGAATGTATCCAGACAACCATTTGAATGAGAACTTAAGTTTGGGAAGTAGTTGCGTTTTTCTTCGTGGGAGTGAGTTTAACAGTCTTAGAGACTAACAGATTTTCAGCGTCGTCGTTGCATTGAAATTTTAATAAAGAACAAAATCTCTTGTTAGAATACAAATCAGAATTAAATCTCTTATCTGAAATGTAGCTGTGTCGTTAAGGTTTTGCCGTTTTTTTTTTTCTTTCTTTGAGCTGCTGACTAGTACGGGTAGCTGTCGGGGAAACCCAGCCCCTGGACGCACTGCTCCCCTCCGTCCACCAAGTAAGGCCCTTCCTCCTCGTAGCTCGGGAGGGGGAAGCCGTCCTCTTCGCTAGGGGGCAGGATGGCGTCAAGGTCGGCTTTCAGACTGGGCCTCTGGTTTTCCAAGAAGGCCATGGAGAACAGTGCGTCGGGGTTGCACACAAATTTGTAGACGTACCTTTCCCCGGCAACCTGCATGAGAAAGAAGTATTTAAACAAACAAACAAAAATCTTTAAAGAAAAGAGAAAGAATCATATGAAGCTGTGAAAAAGGAAGAAAGGAAATGTGACTCGCCTTTACCTTCTGCATGATGCCCTTTTCGTAGTAGTACCGCAGTGAGCGGCTCAGTTTGTCGTAGTTCATGGCTGGTCGGTTTTTCTGGATGCCCCAAAGGCGAGCCACCTGGATTAAAAAATAAAAATAAAAAATTAATGCATAAAGTCCAGTTAGAATCTAAACTTTATTCTGATAAATTGTTCAAAATCAATCTAAAAGCTTCACCTCTTCCGGATCGATCAGTTTAAACTCCATGTTGCGCCCCGTCCACACAATCAGGTGTGCATTTGCCGGATTGTCGAGCAGCGTTAGCAGAAACTGCCAGAGCTGCAGGGAACCGCGCCGTTGGTACGGCAAACCCTCCTGCTTCACTTTAGCTGGGTTCAAAAAGAAAATGCTGACTGTACTCATCTCAGAACAATCAAGCTCAACTGATTATCAAAAGAAAAAAAGATATTTTTTAACTCTGTATAGTCGACATACCTTCCAGTCTTTCTGGGACAACGCAGGTGTCGTCATAGTACCTAACAGGCTCTCTGTCAGAACCAAATCCTGCAAAATAAACGATTCCAGGGTTTGAATCTATTATTGTGTTAAACCTGCCTGTAGAAATCATAATGAATTAAATAAACACCCACTCATCTCTTGGTTTATTGTGTGATTTTTAATGTTACATCATTGGCTGGGCATAATGGGATGAAATGCTAAATTAATGCTATTACAATTTACACTGGCGAGTGGGATGGCCAATGGCCACCCCTGGTGGCACCACTGGACAAATTAGAGCTATGATGCCACTAAAATGCTCCAATTTCTTAAATAAATAACTTTACACATGTGTAAAACCTTACATGCAATAAAGACATATTCATCTAATAAATAATCTACATTGACACACAAAAAAAGCATACAACATACATGCAATGTATATTAGCCAAGGACAACTAAATTGATTAATATCATTTCACAAACTAAGCATTTTGGTATTTATTAATCATTTATAATGTTTTGGAAACTATTGGTTTATTTATTTGTGGCATTTCTGTATCCAGCAGCAAAATAAGTGATCTATATGTATGTAAAGACACACTAAAAATTGAATGCGAAGATATTAGAAGATATATTAAACAAACGTGTATTATTCATAATGAAGCGTAAGAATTATTTTAAGGTTTTTAATTGATTGAAAAAAAAAAAACAGTATACAGAATCACAAGCTCTAATAAGAAGTTTTGAAAATTCAACAAAATTACTTAAGTGTGTCAATAATTTAAGCAAATTCATAAAAAATTGGAGACGAAAGTTGCAGCCATTTCTCATCTTTTCCTGGTTTTGAACATTTTTCAAATATTTTGCTACTTTTTTTTCTCCATGGTTTGGACCAGGTAAATGACTCACCGGCGCCGCTTTTCTGAAACGAAACTGGAGACTTTCCAAAAGATGACTGGCAGGTTTGAACTTCTGAAAAAAAAAGAAAAGAAAAAAAAAAAAACACAAAAGATGACTCATCAGTTTTCTTTAGAGCTTCCATAAAGCCTTTAGGAAGGGTTATTTAGAGCACAAGTGCCAAATCTGGCCCTTCATAGCCAATCATACAGCCCTCAAGGGCTGTATAATTGAAGCATTTTTTGTTTCTTTTATCGGCATCAACCTGGGCATGCGTGTGTTCACCTATTAATTAGTGCATTCAGCAAAAATTGCTTAAAGATATAGTGGAGGATGTTCTTTTTCCGGGTGGATCGTCTAAATAAGTGGTCCTCCTAATTGTCAATTATTCTGATCATAAGTTTACATAAATTTTTTTTAATGTATTTTAGCCTTAGCTTTTATCTTATGTTCCTTAACTGTGATTCCTGTATAGCACTTTGGTCAACCCCGGTTGTTTTAAATGTGCTTTATAAATAAATTTTGAGTTGAGTTGAGTTGAGTTGGGCTGTCTTACGTACTCGACCCGTTAGCTATCTTTTTCTGCGCACGCGCACTTTCAGACATATATATGTGGTGAGTTAAAGGTTTCAGACATCATCGAAGCTCACCTTTCTCACCGCTGTTCTTTGAAAATAGCTAAGAGAAAAAGTGTCTACGAAGTGTATGAGAAGAAAAGAAAGGCCTCAGAAGAGGCAGATATATCCCAGAATGCTTTGCGCAGTGAGCTTTCCTCGCAAATCATTATGGGATTTGCTGTTACATCCGCCTGCTGTCGCCACCCGACAGCAGCGACTACCGTAATAAAGATGGAGCAGGTAACGCCCAGTGGAGGAGGAGTTACTTGACCAGCACCTTTTAAACAGAGCGTGCATATGAGGAGAAATGGGCTCTGCATGCTCTCCCGCGCCTTTAATAGGTGTTCCTTCTCTGGAGCAGGTACAGGGTTGTGCATGTACATTTTTTTTTAAGTGGGGAGGGCAGGTCTTTTAAAAAAATTGCGAAAATCATCCACTATACCTTTAAGATCACATAAAGTGTATGTACTTGCTTTCTTTCCATTTGAAATCATTGTTGTTTTGTTGGATTTATTTAGGTTCAACATAAAATTTTTATCATGTAAATGGAGGAAGAAACGGATAGACAGACAAAAATTATCGTTATCAGAATCAGTCTTAGAAGAACCCTGTATCGGTCCATTAAAAAAAATAAAAAGTGCCAAAAGCTGCTAAATAAATAGGAGTAGAATTTTAAAATCAGAGGAAAACAGTAGTTTAAAAAGTTGAACTGGCCTTTTTAAGGCCTGATGATGCCAAAGAATTTAAAAATGACACACAAACTGTTAATGTGAAATCACAAGATTAACATCTGAACAGTACCGGGTTCAAAGCCGAAGTCTCTCGGCTCCTGTTTGATTTTGACGTGGTTGAAGGTGGTTTGGGGTGGGGCCAGGCTAGAACCCGCCGGCCCGGCATCTGGATATCGTGGATCCACCAGCTCCTGTTTGAAACCATGAGGAGGGAGCGGGGTGAGGGGCTCCGACAGGTGACGCTGGTACATCGGCCGGCCGTCGCAACCTGAAGGGTGGTACGGCGTGTTTGCAGTTTTCTCTGGAGCCAGGAAGGGCAAACAGGGATCTGACATTTGCCGGTGGAACCTGAAAGGGTGGAAAAAACGTTTGAGGCGCCTCTGAGAACTTAAAACCACAAATATTCAGGTAATAATCAGGTTACCTTTGCTCTGGATTGAAAGACGCCCCTGAGCAGCCGACGGGGTTACAGGGCAGAGCGAACTGCTGGTTTGGGTTGGACTGGGGGAGATTTTGGCGGTGGAAGGGGCTGGAGGCTGGAGTTTGGCCGGTCATATGAGGCGGGGATGGCTGAAGCTGCCTCCGTATGGGTGGGGGTCCAGCGGAGTGGATGGAGCTACGCTGCGTTACAGGTGCGTTAGCCGGACCTGGTTTGTTTTCACAGGCACTGAGAGGGGGACAACATAAAGGTGAGGTGAAGCAAAGAAACCCAGCATCATGTTGGTTGATGTTAAACACTAATATGATACCTGTAACTGTAAAGGCACATATCAGCCTGGGGGGTCCCGCAGGGGGACAGATCTTTGGACGGACTGGGCTCTCGCTTCACTTTGCTGACATGTGGGCTGTGAAGCGTCGCTGCAAAGACATTACAGAAACAAAGCTTAGACTTTCTATCTACTATATTCTACAGCAATCGATCCTCTTGGGATCACATGGTGCGATTCAGCTTTCCTCGAAGGAGCCTTCAGATTGAAATCAGAGTGGCGCCAACAGGCAGCGGATGTTTCCACGTCGGCTTTATGGCTTCGAGCCGTTCTGTTGCCCTCATTGCGTCAAATGCATCTAATGTTTTTTTTTCCCTATTCATTCATATCTTATCAGCGGCTATATTTTCCAAAGGTGGAGACACGAGCTCTGGATGTTTTTTATGACCCCCTCCTTTCCTTTCCTCGTGACTTCTATCATTAATGTAAACATAACCGCATGCTATGATGGAGTCAGAAGGGTCAACTGGGTTCATCTAGGGCACATGTCTGCAACCTGGGGCTCTTTGGATCCTCTGTTACGGCTCCTAATGGCTGATAAAATGAACCAACTAAAGGTTTTAAATACGGCGTAATAACATCGATCTTGGAAGTTATAGCATTTCTTTTTTTAAGAATTTCTGAAGTGAACTTTCCCAACAAAATAGAATAGAAAACACTTTATTGTCTCACAATAAGGACATTCTGGTGTTTACAGCAGCAAAAAGATTTTAAAAAATGATCACACAAATGTAGAAATTACATTTAGATCTGCTATTTTGTGATTATTTTGGACATTTTAATATTTGACCTAATTTTCAACAAATATCAACATCCTATTGAAGAAAATCCATGCAGGTTATGCTTTTCCTCATTTCAAAATAAAATATACGAAAAACATAGTTTTTATAGCAGATATTTATCAGAATCAAAGGTCAAATTTAATCTAAATAATTTCTATTTGGCTGGAAAAATAGCTTTTAGGATTTCAAAGGATCCAGAAACCAGATCTAGGTCATAAAATATACTGTATGTAACAATAATAATGATGATACAGATACTCTGGTACAGATATTCTATTAGTGTTTTACTTCATGTTTAAATAAAAAAAAAAAAAAAACAATTGCGCACTTCATTAGCATAAAGTCATAATATATTTTAAAAATTATAAAGATTATAAGATTATAAAGGCCTACTTTGTGTTTTTTTGTAATATTTTGGTGTATTTATAAAGCTAAACCTGTCATTTCTAGATCAATTACTTTTTACATTATTTTCAAATTAGATTCATACTTTCCCACATCTTCCAATAAACCTCTATTAATTATTTTAAGAACTTATAATAAAAAACAGTCCATCGACTCTTTCTCTCTCCAAAATAAAGAGTGAAATCATAATAAGCTCTTTATCTAGAGAAACGTTTATTTTCCTCCACTGAGTGGGCAGGACTATTTGGCTCAAACTATTTTCAGCCACTCACACATCATCTGCAATTTGCAGCAACAGGATAAGACTAAATATATATCTGCAGCAACGGCAGGAAACTAAATGACTTGATTATTCAGTTTTAATGGTTTGTGTTCAAGAATAGATCTCTGTTATGCAAGGAAACACAATTTGCATATAGGGCTCTCAACCTGAATGCATGTTTGCATGATAAATCGCCACCATTTATTGTATAACCGAGGGTGACATCTAGGATTTTTTGAGAGGAGAGGTGGTTACTCACAGTTATTGGACTGGAAATCTGGGACAAACTGCTCGTCATCAGGAGCCTGAGCTGTCAGACAGAAGAAGAGAGGATGATTAAAGAGCAGCAAGATGCTGAGAGGAAAGAAGAAACTATTTATGCAGTCATTTTTAGCTTTATTTCTAGTCTTTGTTGATTCTATTTTAGCAATGTTAGCTTTGTTTCTTTTATTTTCTTACCTTCTGCAATCCATATTTCCTGGAGCTGGCTCAGATCCTGAAATAGCTCTAAAAGACACGCATGGATCGTATTTATAGATGAGGATGCTACATTTAGAAATGTCAAGCGCAGAGAGAAGAAAACAAGGTGACTTACCTTCTGTGTCCTGAGCCAACTCTCTGTCCAAGAACCTCCTCCGCCTGTCAGTGAGACTCCTCTCCTCAACTGTGTGGCATTTCTACAACAGAAACCACTCAGATTAAAATGGGCAAACCCAATAAATCTGTCAAATAAAAACTGGCAATTTAAAAACTCACACTCTCAGGCACCATAAAAGGGACCTGCTGGTCATAAAAGCCATCCATGTTTCGGTGGTCTTCACTGTGGAGGACGGCATAAGAGGGATATATTAGGTAGACGCTTAAATGCATCACTTGGTATAACAACCATCACCTTAAAGGGACTCAATTGTTTTTTGTTTTTCTAACTTCAAGGACTAGTAGGCTTATCAGTGCATCTAAAAGCTCCACTGGAAAGGAAAACTGTGAGTGAGGTGAGTTATAAGCATTTAGGAAGATTGATATGTAGAGGCGGGAGAGGGTTGATTAAAGGGTTTATACATGAATGAGTCAGTCTAATTTAATGCTTTCTAATGTGTTTTTAATGCTCTTAGAAATAATTGTAATGCCATCAACAAGTACCCATGAGCATTTCTATTGAAATTAGCATTTTCCCCCCATTCTTTTTTTTTAACATACAGCTTTACGATCAACCAGAAGCAGTTCCGCACAAATATATTGCAATATATCTGACTAAATTGTTAATTTAAAAAATAATAGGGTCTAATTTCCTTTTATTAAGGATTTAGGTGTAGGCTTGGACTGCGCCATTCAATTTAGATCAATACTTCTTATTTTTGACCATTTCCATCATTCATAATAGTGACTCGGCAGATGGCCGCTCACACTGTGCCTGGTTCTGCAGGAGATTTCTTCCTGTTAAAACTGAGTTTTTCCTCTCCACTGTCGCTACAAGCATGCTTAATGTGAGGGATTGCATCCGAGTCAATGAGTCGATGCAATCAACTGGCTTTCCTTAGATAGAAAACTTTGAATCAATATGACTGTATGATCTAGTAACCTGTAAAGTGCCTTGAGATGACATGTGTTATGAATTGGCGCTATATAAATAAATGAATTGAATTAGATACAATTTTTTTCCTCGAAGTTCCTTTTCTCAATAGCCCAATAAACCCAAATCTGATTAGATTATTCTCAATTAGGTGAAGAGGATTATGGAAAACGGTGATCATCCTCTTCAGAAGATTTCTAAACAACAAAGTGTCTTTATTAAGAGGCCTCTCCAGATGCGGTGGAAGACAGACCACTACAGATAAACTTACAGCTATCAAAACCTACAACAAATCGATGAAAAAAAAAACAACCTATGAGTTACTGTAGCATTTAATTCCTCTGTAGTAATAAAGCATTTTTGAAATGAACATAATTTCTTGCTCCAGAATGAACAGTTTTAGGAGTCCTACTCCATATGTTTACTGTGTACTCTAAGCGACCTTTGATGTGGTTGGAAATACGACTTCTTGTGGCTTTCCTCTTGATTCTTCTACAAAAGCAGGATTTATGGAGTTCACAACTGTAATTCCTATCTACAGAGCCACAAAAGGGCCCTTTGGGTGCTTCTCAGCCCTTCTTCTTGCTTTATATTCATAGCCCTGTCTGGGTCTTCATGATACAGCAGATATACATTCATAACACAGTTGTTTTAATAAGGAAACTAAAGACCATAGTTTTATTTTTATTTGTATTTATAATATGCTTCCATCTAAAAAAAAAAAAAGAAGAAAAAAAAAATAAAACTATCCCCATCTTTTACTGGATCTATGACCTAAAATCCCCCCCAAAACACATTGAAATTGAACTGTGCATTAGCTTTTTTTAAGAATTAATTCTATGAAACAGAAAATTTTGTTGCAGTTTATTACAATATTGTGAACTTTTTGTGAAAAAAATGAAAAGAGTCGAGGTAGACGTATGTAACAGAGCCGAACGTAAAATTAGCAGAATTTTGAATGGAGTTTGGCGTAGGAAGCAGAGAAAGCGCTGACCGCTATGGGACCTCCTTGTTTTTCTCAATGAAGTGAAACTTGATCCTCAGCAGGAGGAGGAGGAGGTGAAGAAGGAGGGGGGCAGCTCACCATTTAGAAATGTACCACACTGAATTAGTCACAAAGCTAAAAGAGCAAAAATGTAAACAAAAGCAAACGGAAACGGTGGCCCGCCTGGCCGGTAGATGCGGGGAAATGGACGCATGTTGCCTTTGATTGTTAGAAAATGGCGTTCGCCTCTTTAACCCCGTATCTGCTCCCTTCACAGCCAGCAACAAACCGCGACGCTGCGGTTCGCCCAGATAGACTAATCACGGCAAAAACAGAAACAGTTTTTTTTTAAAAACAAAAAAAAAAAAAACTTCGGTATTAAAATGCAAAACATACCTGTTTAGTGAAGTTCGTTTTGGAAGAGTGACTTAAATACAAGTGGTTGCGATTTCGCCCCCCCCGTACATCGCCTGCAGCTCCTCGAATAAACACTCGGCTGTGGATTTTTCTCAATGAAGAACTCTCAGATAATCGAAGCGCAGTACATACCTCCCATTGGCTCAGAAAGGTGTCAGACAAGAATTCAGCCAATCAGATTTAACACAGTGCTGACGTCTGTTCCTTCTGCTTTTTATGAATGGCTGCGTTTCATTCATGAATTCACAGCTTTCTTAAAGGGCCAGAGCCACTAGTCTGTTTAATGGAGGGTTAAAATTAAGTTTAAACTAACATATTTAATCCTGCTATGTATATTTTATGACAAGATTTATAGATCTATATATTTCAACAACAATTTGACAATTCAATTAAATTCAATTAGTGAACGTAAATATATTTACTTAAAATAAATATTGATTTAAAGTATCAAATATATAACAAAAAATTCTTAATGGCTAATGCATTGAATGACTATGGCAAGGAGTGTTGGTCTAGAGGTTAGAGCTGTGAGCTTGTGCTTTGAAAAGGTTGCAAGTTGCCGGTTCAATCCCCACAGCTTCCACTCTGGGTCCCTGGGCAAGACTCTTAGCCCCACACTGCTACTTGGCCACCGCACAGTGCAAGATAGAAGAAATAAAGTTCAATTGTCCAGTTATTATTGTTGTAATTTTACCAATGGAACAGAAAACACAATTGAATTGTCCTATTTCAAGTGCATATTATCTAATTATCTTATTTTAAGAATAAAAATATTCATTCCATTGGCAAACTATCTGATTTACCTACTCAAATTAAGGGTAAATACATTTAATTTAGGAAAATTTAACTCACTTCTAGATTGTTTTTCCAGTGCACAAGCTCCTGATTGTCCTTCCATCTTTTCGTGTGTTATTGGCTGTCAACACTGTCACTCCTGAGAAGCTCACTTTACAAACACCCGAATCAGGTCTGTGATTGGATGGTCGATTCGCTGCTGAAGTCATAAATGCTACCGTAATTAGAACAGCAAGACTGCATGTCCTATTCTCTGCTTTCTGATACATTTTGGATTTTTGAGATATCTTAAATGGTCCAGTATATATGCTCTTGGACAAAAACGTGGGTCGGCAAAAGACGACAGATAGTGAGGGAATCTGCTACTGTGAGTTCTCAGCCATGGTGGATATTGTTCTCTTGGGCATTCTTGACTTTATCTTGGCCAAGCAACTCAAGAATCACTGTATATCAGCTCAGTAGTTTCTGTGAAGGTCCCAGTTGGGATTGTAGTAAGTGCTGTATTTATATCAGCCACGAGATCATCAAAAAAAGCACAAAAAAGGTTAAATTAAGAGTTCATTTCAGAAAGGGTTTTATGTCATGTGAGTTTCACACCGCTTTCTCCCTTTTACCTCTACCTTGATCCTTTTCCACCTCATTTTACATAAGCTGCAGGAAAATCACCAAAAGGTTTCACGTGATAATTGGAGAAAAAAAAAATCTGACAAAGCACCAACTCCATGACTGATGGCTCTGAACAATAGAGAGAATAAAAGCACCGTAGTTGGGGAGACTTTAATCCAGATATGCACATAAGGAGATTAAAGGTCAGCTGCACTCATGATGGAGCAGAAACCACTGTTCCTTTGTGGGCTTATGTGATGAAAATCATAAGATCCTGCTGCAATTAAAACTTAGAGGGGAGAACCAGCTGGTACCAGCAAGAGAGAAGCCATTTTTGTATCTTTAACCTTTTTGTAAGGAGTTAATCAAGGATTGTTCAACTATTATATACTTGGAAGCATTTTTTTCTCCATCTTCTAAACATTTTCTTGCAATCAAATGGCTTAATGAGGAACAGATCCACATTGGCATTTTAGCAGAATCTTATTGGAAGTTAAAGAGTTTGCAACTCTATGATTTCACTCTACATTGTTTGTCCAGGTGGACTTTCTCCCCCCTTTTTTATTTGGAATAGCAGCACTGATTGTTTGCACTCCTCAGTAAAAAAATGCCCGATCAGCGTCGGGAGATGCCAGAAACGGATCTGTGCATGCGATAAAAGTCCCAGTTCAGACAGCAGCTGAGCTCAGCAGCTCTGTTACTGATTTGCAGTGTCTCCTGTTTACTTCGCTGATGCACGTATACTCCTCTGCACCAGGCAGCATGGCTCGGTTTCATTCTTCCGTTCTGGCAGATTGAAAAACTTGATATAAAATAACATATCCTGTAACAGGAAATTGTGCACTGTAATCTTTCAGCTGATAATCAAACATATCTGCAGATTAAAATGCATGTATAACTTTTTGTTTTTTAAACTATTGGTCATATAACACAGTCTTTATGTGTTTATACTAAGTAAAGGAAAAATTCAAGAAAAGAAAAAAAAAAAGATTTGGTTGGTTTAACTCAATTTTCCAACATAAATATATATATATTTTACTTAAAAACCCAAACCCTTTTTTAAAGACTGCACATTAAATTAATAAAAAAACAGGGTTAATAATAATGGCTGATAATGATCTAAAATATCATAATTTATTAGGAAATGGCCATGTACAATGTAACAATCATTTTGTTGTATTGTTAAAATATGAAATTGAAAATGTTTTGAAATCATCCTTTACCTTGCACATTTTTAGCCACTCCCCTTTTTGCTTTTTTAATGTGATGTATAAAATATCACCTGATAAATTGCAAGAGCACCTGTGATAATTGAAGATAAAATTAGCAACACCTTTAAGCTATTCTGCAAGCTCTCCAACATTGAAATCATGGAGGGGTCTGATATTGTAATTGTAGGTGCATGTCCACTGTGAGAGGCATAATTTAAAACAATAAATCCAGAAATCCCAATATATTAATTTTGTAACTGTTTATTTGTATGATGCAGCTGGAAATAAGCATTGGAACACCTGTCTATCAGCTAGAATTCTGACCCTCAAAGACCTGTTAGTCAGCCTTCAAAATGACCACCTCCTCTCCATTTATTATCCTAAATTAGATACACCTGTTTGAGGTCGTTAGCTGCATAAAGACACCTGTCCACCCCAAACAATCAGTAATAATCCAACTACTAACATGGCCAAGACCAAAGAGCTGTCCAAGGACACTAGAGACAAAAGTTTACACTTCCACAAGGCTGGAAAGAAGAAATTGCCAAGCAGCTTGGTCAAAAAAGGTCCACTGTTGAAGCAAAAATTATTTGAAAATGGAATCAGCTAAACATGAATGTCAATCTCCCTCAGACTGGGGCTCCATCCAAGATCCTCATGGGGTCTCAATGAACCTAAGAAAGGTGAGAAATCGGCTCAGAACTACACAAAAGGAGCTGGTCAATGTCCTGAAATGAGCTGGGACCACCGTTTCCATGGTTACTGTTGGTAATACACAAAAACGTCATGGTTTGAAATCATACGTGACATGGAAAGTTCCCCCGCTTAAACCAGCACATGTCAAGGCCCGCCTTAAGCTTTCCAGTGACCATTTGGATGATCCAGAGGAGTCAGATGAGAAAAAAAATAGAACTTTTTGGTCATAATTCAACTAATCGTGTTTGGAGGAAGTGGAATGATGAGTGCCATCCCACGAACATCCCTACTGTGAAGCATGGGGGTGGTAGCATCATGCTTTGGGGGTGTTTTTCTGCATGTGGGACAGGGTGACTGCACTGTATTAAGGAGAGGATGACCAAAGCCATGTATTGGGAGTGTTTGGAGAACAACTTCCTTCCCTCAGTTATAGCATGGAAGATTAGTTGATGCTGGGTCTTCCAACACGACATTGATTCGAAGCACACAGCCAGGATAACCAAGGAGTGGCTCTGGAAAAAGCATATCAAGGTTCTGGCATGGCCTAGCCAGACCTAAACCCAATAGAGAATCTTTGGAGGGAGCTCAAACTCTGTGTCTCTCAGCGACAGCCCAGAAACCCTGACTGATCTAGAGAAGATCTATGCGGAGGAGTGGGCCAAAATCCCTCCTGCGGTGTGTGCAAACCTGCTGAAAAAAATTACAGGAAATGTTTGACCTCTGTAAATGCCGTCAAAGGCTACTGTACCGAATGTTGATTTTTCTCTGGTGTTTAAATAATTATTTCCATCTGCATCATACAAATAGTTTAAAAAATCATACATTGGAATATCTTTATTTTCTTTTTAAGACTATGTCTCTCACAGTAGACATGCACCTATGATGACAATTTAGACCCCTCCATGATTCTAAGTGGGAGAACTTGCAAAATAGCACAGTGTTCAAATAATTTTCCTCAATGTAAATCTAAACCTTGATCAGCAGCATTAGGGTAGAACCAAATGAAGGAAACAATATTACACTTTTTAAATATTTGTTCTATCCACCCCTTTTTTCCTCGTTTGTTTCTCATGTGTAATGCAGCACTGACGCCACTAGATGGCACAATTTATGATTATCTAAGAAAAAAAAAAACAACTGCTGAAATGTGACCCCTCTGTTAAAAAAATATAAGTACTCTTTTAAGAGTATTAAAACATGCCATAATTATAAACAAACCTGTTCTCTATCCATAAGTGTATTTTTGGAAATATGTATTTGTAGAAACTGTTGTTCTAAAGTGTTGTGTTTGATCTCCTCTTAGTTTTCAGGTCAAAACTATGTTTCATTTTGATCAGTGTTAACAAATCTTAAATAACTTCCTGTTTATTGAGGATATGAATATGCTGCAATAATTAGGCTCTTTTCACTTAGCCGCGTTTCAAAATAGTTAATGTTCAAAAAAGGAAGATGTGTTTTGATGTGTAGATAATAAACTTGCCTATATCTCCTGTAATGCACCCAAACACACCAGATGTGACCTTTCATCTTATGTATTTTCAGGTCACTCAAATAGAGGAATCTCTTATTTCAAAATGGCGGTCCCGTGGTATATTTTTTTGAAAAAATTTTTATAAACTTAACTAGAATATTCTTTATAATATACAAAAATAGATAAGTACAATTTTTGGTGAACAATAGCCAGGGGTTTGAACAAATATAATAATAATAGATTTAAAATAATTAAATAAAAGTTAAATTAGTAATAGTAATAAAGTATAGTTACACATAGCAACATGTAAAGGGATTACATAAATACTTTCAATTTGGAGAATAAAGATAATGTTTTAATAGTTTTTTTTGTTATTGGAGGACAATGTAGAAAAATAGGTTGTTAATTTCTTTTAAAAAGAAATACATGATACAAGAGATACATGAGGGTTCAAAAGATTATATAAGAAAAAAGTCAGAAAGCAATGGTCAGAAAGTTATTTTTTTATACTTTGTGATTCCAAATAAATCATCCTTAAAATTAAGTCCAAATTTGTCATAAATATTGTCCAGAATGAGGCGACAAATACCTTGCCATAGGCGCTGCCCTGGTATCTCAAGAGATAGAAATGCTGTCATGTCAGTTGTGACAAAAAGACATGTGTCACCATATCAACTCAAAGTAAACAAGCTTTTCGGTGGCATATTCATTTTTCAAGAAGCATTTTTGCAACTAAAGGAAAAAAAAAAAAAAAAAAATCTCAAATTCAATGTATTCTTTAAAGCGCAGAACGAAAAAACTAAAAGTTTCCTGAATGACAAACAGAACAAGCAATAATCAGATGATTCCACTTGAACAAATATCTTTCTTTTTCTGATCATTGTTTTTCTTAAAACAGAAAAATTTACTATATTTACTTTACATTTGAACTCTAAATAGAAAGATAGTCTACACACTAATTCGGTTACATTTTGTTTAAACTTTATTAGTACTACAGTGAGGAAAAGTTAGAAATGAAAGATAAGAGAATCAGTACAGTGAAATGAGAGGTGTTATTTATGAAGTCCAGCCTACAGCACGTCGAATTGGGCCTAAAGCCGGATGGAGAGCCCCCCCACTCAGATTGACGTCTGTATTCACCTTGTTCCAGCAGATACTGCCTCCCCCTGTAGTTTGGATTCTCATAGATCCAGATCCCATCCCGGACGTAGGCTGAGTGGACCTTATAGTGGCACCAACGGTTCTGCAGGTCACAGGTTGTCGTTCAGCTGAATAAATTCAATCTGCCAAGGATTGTGTTCTACTCCTCCATCATTAAGTCCATCCTCACCTCCTCCATCAGGGCCTACGGTCCATCAGGACCAAAACCTCACGGCATGAGAACAGTTTCTTCCCATCTGCTACCAGCCTTATCGATAAGGCCCAGAGCCCCCTGTGACACTGGCACTGCCTCTCTCCCTCCCCCGTTCAGGACCTACAAGCTACATCTCCAGACCTCCTGCGTTACATTAACACACAGCCTACTGTGCACATGGTACATACAGTAGCTGTATACTATAGTATATCTTATGTTTTAGATTGTATACAACTATAGATCCTGTATTCTGTGTATATATCTAATTGTCAGCACCATCAACACCAAGTCAAATTCCTTCTAAGTGCAAACCTATTTGGGAATAAACTTGATTCTGATTCAACTCCATCAGCTGGCCGCTGAAGTCCAGACATTCATCAATGCGGATCCTGTGCCTGATGGATGGCTTAGAAATTAAGCAATTAAGAATTCTGTTAATGAAGGTAAATTCATAACCATGCCACCGTCACTAACATGTACAGCAAGTGTCTGTAACCCTGGTCCTGCGTGTTTTACCGCTACTACACCTGACGTGAACAAATGGGTGTTTAACAGAAGTCTGCGGTACTTGGTGGCTATTGACGATGGAATACAATCATTGAATTCAGGTGTGCTGAGGCAGAGATCAATCTAAGACATATAGCTTTGTTTCTTGAGAAACACCTGCCAGGACAGATGTGTCATGAAGCCGTTCCAGCTCTGGAACGTTGAGTACTCCCCTTTAAAGAGGATGTACGGGTAGCCCACATACTGTTGTCTCTCATAGATCCACCCTCTACTCAAATGGAGTTGCAGCGGCTGAAGTGGGACCTGATGTCAGGACAGTCGCTACTGCATTCAAAGGATCAACCTTAGAAGTTCTTGTCCTTGTAAACAAAAGGGCTATAAGCAAGATTCTTGGTTAGAAGCATCTATAGCCACAACCATAGTTGCCAGTACCTCTGGAAAAAGCTAAACAAGCTGGACGAGAGACAAAATATCTCTCATTTAAAGGTTTAGGCAATTCTATGCTTTAGGTTTCTTGCTCTAACATTCATTTGTATGATATAATTTAATATAAAGCCATTTTAGAAAAAACTGCCAACCAATATGGAGTCTAAGACCACTGCTCAAGAATGGACAGTTTAAAAGCTAGTAGCTGGCTATGGTTTAAGAGTGCACAGTCAGTCCTATCATGGCTCCTGGTGCTCCTATTCTGCAGCTGATGTTGGAGTCTCTCATTTATTTATCTGTTGGAAGTTTTAGTCACATGTTAAAGCTTTTAATGTCTAAGAATTGTATTTTTATGTTTAACTGCTTTGTTTTTTAAAAATATACCATTTAATAAAACTTTTATTGTTGCCTTGTGCACCTTTGGCAGTAAAATTTGCCCCAAGACGAGGTTGCAAGCTGCGGGTTGTTGTCGCCCTCCAGTGGTAGAAAATGAGAATGACCAGTTTTAGTCATTAATATTTCATGGTCAATAAAATCACATCCAATTTGATTAAATTAACAAAATACATTTTGTATAACAGTAAATTATAAATTGCAACGGAATTCACTGTATATTATATTTTGAAATTTCCAGGATTCAAGATATAACCTCAAATCTCATCATATGATTAAACTATTTTTGATAAAATAAATCAAATACCTAATAATCAAAATAACACGATATGACAATAACTTTAAAAAACAAGATTTCAAATAAATTGTTGAAACAAATTTTTTTTATTTATTATTTAATTTGCTTTTCTTCACATATGAAAAACAAACAAATATGCTATTGTTTTCATTTGTTTTTCTGTCTTAAAGCTGCCCCAAAAAATTTTCAGTAAAGAAAATTATTATAAAGGTCCTTATCTACAACCACAATGATAATAATAACAACAATAATAAGCGGGTGAAGGTAGAGACACAAATTAGACGATAAAATATGAAGAATTTAACCAAGGTCATTCCTAATGAATGATCTTAGACAAGCAATTAATATATTTGAGATTATTCTAAAACTGTTTCCACCCAGCTTGATGTAGATTTTCTTGTCTAAAAATTCAGCTGTTGCTTAATTGAAATAAAGGCACTGATCTCAGGATCAGCAGCCGCTGTGAAATTAATTTAGCTTAAAGCCAGTTAAACTGATCGTCAGTTGGAGGGTGTTTAAAGGCTAAACTGTCTTCACTGTTTTAAGTGAAAATATCTATTACTCATCTTCCCTGTGTGCTCAATAATAAGGCTACCTTATCTTCCAAAACACAAAATAAAATTAAAGCCCCCCCCCCCGCCCCCATTCACCTGCAACCCAGATGTCCCACCTTTATATAAACTGACGAAATGCTACGCAAGCATAACTGTTGTCATTCAAATGAGCCTTCCATTAATGTGCCAGCTGATTCTACAATTTTTTTTTTTTAACATGGTTTTGGATAAGATGATGCTGATATTTTACATTTTGATCTTTTATAACATTTAACAGATGTCATTTTGCATTTATCCCCTTATGGATTTCAGCTGTTTTGGACTTCTTCTGGTTACTAAAATAGGCTAAAATATCTCAAATAGAAGCAAATCATGACTTCATCTACAGAAACTTTATGGGACACATCTACCATGAAATCATTAAACTTTACATTGTTGTAATTTAATGGGAATCAGCAGCCCAGAGTTTGAGCCATTCTACAGAAATAGGCCTATAGAGAAAACAATTGCAATTACTCCAAAAGTAATACAGTCACAGAAGAAGTAAGGATGACATCTGAAGTACTGGGAACTTTATTCGTCCCAGTTAAGTTAAGAGTAGATAATTCAACATGAAAAGTATGGGTTACACAGCAAAAAACTATCTAAAAATA